TCCCTACATTTCAGCCTCAAAAGCAGAACTTTTAAGTTTCTCCCCACTCTCACTTCCGGATGGCATTTAGGAGCTGAACTTTGGATCAAAAACTCTCCTATTCATTCACATTCTTTGCAAGAAAGAGAGAGTATGTCTGTGTGTACGTGTGTGTGTGTGACCATTTCCTCCAAATTATACAAGTTCAACATTTGTCCTAGGAAATGAAGAACAAAGCAGAAATCAAATAAGAGCTGTAATCCCAAGTTGGGGGTTGGGGAGAGACTCTAACCTGCTTTTTCCTCAAAAGAAAAATAGTTCCTTTCTGTGGGTTGCCTAGAAACTGCAAGGTTTCCTGCATCAGCCCTGGCTCTCCCTGGGGCAGGCGGATTATCTTTCTGCTGAGCTTGCTGAACCATTATTTATCACCTGCCAAGATTGATTACTCACCCTGGGACAATGACAGCCCTTCCTTTCCCCTGTTAATTACTGTCATCATTAATATCCATGTCACTAATTAGTATTCATTCACATTGAAACTCCTTCCTTGCTATCATATCCGCTCCCCCTTCCACCCTAGCCCCAGCCTCCAGCACCATTGTCTGGGTTTCTACCCCCTTTGGGCTGTATGGCTCAGTCTCTGGTCTAATTGTTCTCCCTGATTCACCAGGCACCAGTTTGCACTCATGGAACTAAAGCATCACATTTAAACACTTTTTTTGTGTGTGTAAGAAAGAGAAAGTCTCAAAAGGCCCTTTCCATTTTTCCTGGAACTGTGGGGATCACAGCTCTGGGTCTTGTTGCTGGTGTAGTCATATCTTATCCAAGCCGTGGCAAGTGAGCTGTGGTCTTGACCCACCACACTGTCTGTAGCAGCCTCGACCCCACAGCCATCCCTGACATGCTGTGAACTTCAGCAAACAAACAAGCAAACAAACAAACAAAACCAATGATGCCTCAGGGCAGGTGGACATTCGCTCTCCTCCAGTCTCCCTGACTAACCCAGCAGGGGCCAGCCTCCAGCCTTGGGACAGGATGTAATCCCCAGGAACAAGTAAGGAAGGGAAATCTGTCATTATGTCATAACCTTTGAGATACCTACTACAATCATTACACAATAGTATCAGACAAGAACAGGGCCAGCCCTGTGGCCTAGTGATTAAGGGAGTCAGATCCCACACAGTTGCCTGTGGTTTGAATCTCAGCCCTGGAGGCTTGAAAAACACACTAGGTACATGTGCATGTGTGTCCAAAACTCTGACGGACAAGGGATCGTGGCATGGCTCTGTCCCATTAGGCAGTACTTGCTTTCTCTCTCCGTCTCTGTTTCTCAATCTTTCTTTGGCAAACACAGCCTTCCTCTGACTATTAAAGAAAAAAAAAATAAAAAGAATCAGATAAGAATAATCCAAATAATCAGTAGGAGAAAGCACTTCCTTTTTTTAAAATTTTTTTTTCCTTTCTTTCCTCTTCATTTCTTCCCACCAATTCCCAACATTCTTTCCTTCTTCTCCTAAAAATAATTTAGACTGGATTCTTTCAGTTCTATCTAAAATGAATTGCTGCCCTTTGGGACCATTATTAGAATCTAGATCTTGTCTTAGTCAAGCTACCTGGCCTAGGACTTAAAGCTGATACAGTATCAAAGCAACAAAACAAATAAGATAGCCATCCTTCATTCCCAACCACCCTTCATCCCAAAGTATTTGTCTGAAAGTTTTCTTTTTGAGGTTAATTTATCAAAATATTCTAAACATTGCAGTTATCCATGAAATATACCAGAGGACACCCAAAACACCTCTCTACCGCAAGTGTGTCTTACTAGTATATTCAAGGTCTTATTAGTATATTTAAGAATATATCTACTATATACAGTTGAGCATTATGTTTCTATATGTATTGTGTGCATGCATTTTAATGATGTATTTTGAACATAATCATGTTGACTTGTTTGGAAACAATCTCAAAGTCCTCTGATAGAGAACTAACTAACTAAATAAATTACAGCTCATTCATACAATAAATATTTATTGAACACTTAACATACTAAGTGGAAAGCATACTGAGGACAATGTATATGGTAAGATGACACTTTTACAAGAGAAAAAATATTTTTATTCTATAAATAATGTATGCATAGATATATACAGATATGAAGAAGAAAACTTTTGGACGTTTACTTACATTGTTAACTTTAGGTCATCTTGGGGAGAAGGGGCATCAAAGAAATTTCTATTCTTTACATTTACATATCATTTGAACTTTATGGAACATTCACAATGATACTTTTGTGCTGAGGAAAATACTTATTATTTGAAAGAGTTAAGAGGGAAGAATTGGCCCCTGAGACCAAAGTAGAGAGATTTTGGAGAATTTAGAACAGCCCCTGGCTGTGCTCAGGCTCTGAGCACCTTCTGCCTTCTGGGGGAATGGCAGAGAGAAATGGAGGCAGGATTGTCAAAGCTATCTTTTTCTGAGA